GGTATCAATTTTGCACACATTTAAAAAATAAAAAACAAATAAAAATAAATTTTTACATTTATTTATTTTTATTTGTTTTTTGTTTATTAATAAATTAATAAATTTTATAGTATAAATTGTAATAATCTAATTTATAGCATTAATGTCTATGTTTTATATGCATCCAAAGATGCCGGAATCAAGACGCGAGCAATCAAGGGAGAAGATAACGCACACCACTGAGAAGTTGCGTCATGTGCTTCGTGAAGCGCATTTGTACGTGGATTCTCGGTTGTGCGCATTATTTCCTCCTCTTTAGTTACGTATTGTTTGCGTCTCAATTCTAGCATCACCTGCATACACCTAATATTTTTTTGTAGTCGAGTAATAATCAAACAGCGGTAGAGTAGCTTCAGAGTGATCCTAATTTTCTAAACACACGAAGTACTTTTATTGAACTCTCACTTTTTTAGATTCTCAACGAATATCCAATTGGCGTATAGTAGATCTCACTGTCACAAAGTATTGCAATCGCAATATTTGGACAGAACAGCCAAGAAACCGAGCTCTAGTTGAAATAAACAATGTTGGAACAAAATTTTATACAGATACGCGGACATGGAAATTTAATATACATTAACGAGCGCGTCCAAACGTTCGACTTTAAGCGGTTTAGTCGCTATGATTTTTTTAGTTTTAGTTATCTTATGATCGAGTGCAATATGGCTCAGCCGCATTTAGGAAAAACAGAGACACCTGCAAACAAACGGATACCACTGCTACCGGATCTTGAATATATCACTGACGATAGACAAACTGAAATAGAGAAATTCAATGAGTTGAGTTCACGCGTTACCGAGAGAGCAGAGTCATGTTTTAAGTTTCGTTACTGTATCTAATTTTAGTTGACAATTAATGATTATTTTCTTTTATACCGTCTATCACGAGAAAAGAAGATCACTATGATCGTAGTGATCATCGTGTAAGGCCATGTATTTCGTATTTACCGTTAAGATAAAAGTAAAGAGAAATAAAATGAGCGTGACAGCGCGGCGCGCGGTTGCGCGCGCGCCATCGAGTGTCCTGCAAAATTTGAATTTTAATTCTGACGCAAGAATGTGTTTTAACGCAGAAGTAAAATCGCGCTTGATCGAATGTCGCGCCGTCACGTTTGCGTTAAATATATAACTATGTATAATATTGATAGTAACTACTGAATAGGCATTATATAAAGAGGACGACAAATTTATTAACGCCCGTTTGTGCGCCACGCGTATCTCGCGTGCGACGAAAGTTGTTCGCAACTCGGTAGAAATCTATGATATATATAATGAATATATATAAATATATAAATATATATATATATATTATTAATAAGTATATTGAAACAGATAGATATCATATGTACTATTTAAAGTAATGGGACAGTGAAAAAATTTGAGTGTACTGCAGGGTCATCTTATACATCAAATACCGTGAGGAGTTTACGTATATTATGCGTAGATCTTTGTTATATTCTCGGGAAAAAAAAAAAATACAAGTGAGGTAAGGGCGAATAGGTAAGCATAGATAAAGAGGAAAGGTGGATAACGCGAGCCCTATCGCGAAACTTATACGGGATGGACAAATATATATGTATAATATATATATTGCTCATGCTTATATACATTATGTATATATACTGTGTAACATACATAAAAGCGAGGTAATCGCCGGGGAAAAACGACCAGACCAATCTTTTTTTTTCCTCGGAGAAGAGAACACTACTTTCGACTGTGTAGAGAAGAAAAAAAAATACGAAAAAAAAAAATAAATTCCTCTGCAATTGACCTTTGCATCCCGCGCGACAACATTGCTAAGAGAAAAAAAAAAACATGTAACAAGGAATAAATAGAAATAATGTTTATATGAATTATTATGATTATTAATAATGATACTATCATACGTTACAAGGATAAAAATTAAGAGTTGATTCATGCTTTTAAGAGATTTAGTTTCGTGCTTGTTTAAAGATGACTAACGGCAAGCAGTCAGATCCGAGCGTACCCGTTGTGAGTCGAAGCGAATTATGAGTTTAACTTTATGTTGCACCTTCAAGTCGCGCATAGCCATCGCGCATTATCCATCCGCAACGAGTGAAAACGGCCGGCGCTTTGGCTCAGAGCGAAACGTGGTGAGGGAAAAAAAAAGATTCAAAAAATATGATTATTTACTTTAGATAGAACAAAAATATGTATAGAATTTTATTATGCACCATTGTAATATTCTGTATTCCAGTTGTGACACAATATACACTGGTGTTATGTTAAATGTGGAAATTGCGCGTACCAATCTTTTTTTTGTTTGTGTGTTCCCCAGTGCCGTCTTTCGTCATACATTTACTAACAACATTATTCCGTGAAATTAACAATCTTTGATGATCCCCGTTTAACCATCTTGCAGGAATGGATTCGACGTAGGCGTTTAAAATTATTTTGTACCACACAATTGAAGATATAACATTTGTACAATTGAAAAAAAAAAAAGATGACTTTTCTAGCTTAAGAATAAAACTTACTCTAAGTCTTACACGTCATTTTCTATCAGAAAATTGCGGTCACTTTTTTTAAACATATAACATTGTGTAAAAGAAGAATTCTTCAATGCTGTATATGTAACAGGATAGTTATAGATTGAACTCTCTTTCTCCTTCTGCGTCGACACGAAATGGTGTGAGTTTTTACGGGCTGCGTAAAGAAAATAGATTTTACTCTTCTTTATTCGAATATATTATAATATTTAATTTAATTCAATTTCAAGAAATATAGGCAAATTTAAATAATTCAAATATCATACAATAGAGAGCGTTCAGTACCTACTGTAAGAAATTTGTGCAAAATTCTACACGTGCGAATATTTCTACATTTTCTTGTTTGATTGCTTACCTTCATTAACGAAGAAATCGGCAAAATATTGCGATACTCGAGTAGCATTAGATCCGTGGGGAATATTTTTCCCAGTTATCCATTCGTAGAGGTTTTTCTCTGGATGGAACTGCACTCCGTAGAATGGAAAGCTCTTATGCTCCAACGAAGAGATAAATTCTAAACCTTTTTTATCTCGATTTACTGACATCACGCGAAATTCATTGTCTAAGTTAACACGGCGTAGATCCTAAAACAGAATAGCGTATGCATTATAATGGCAAAATTATTAATGCTTTGTGTAACTGATAATTTCACATCTATATATTATGTCGTGTTTATTTTTAATTTGTATTTGCTCAATTATTATCTTAAAAAAAACACTTGCTTCCTCCGTGACACAAAACTGATGATAATTCGCTGTGACGTTTTCTGTACTTAAAATCTGCAAGACATCTCGTGGAGCGTTTTTAAACAACTTGCTTTTTCTATAATCTGCAAGAAATTTATATTTTTTCATCAGCATAAAAACTATTATTATTGAAATATAAAAATAGTTAATTACGATTAAAAGCAACAAAAAAAATGAAGAATAGAAGCTATATTTTGTAAGAAATATTTACTAGATTTAAATTCTAGTGGAAGAGGCTGATTTTTGCTGGAACAATTTGTCCTGTGCTCGATGCGATTTGCCGCGACATATGTCAACAGCTCGAAACCAAGGCAGATACCAAATATCGGGAAGTAGTCACCTTCCTCATTGATTCTTTTCGCAATTCTATTAACGAAGTAGGTAAGAAATGTCATATTTAAATGATACGTTTTCATCGTATTATCATTATTCTTATTCTGTTTGTAGTGACCTGTAAATTGCGGCACCTGCATCGGCATATCCTTTGCGTTGGAAAAAAAACGTCGAACCTCCCGGCCATAGAACTCTAAAATAAAATATTCTTTTATAAGCATGATTAGTGAGTATTAGTATTTTAAAGATAGATGTATGTGCCATATTACCCGTTAATTTTGCTCAAGATATTTTCATAATACGAATTGCTCCCGTCAATCCTGTACAAAATACATATTTTAATCCGTGGATTACTGTTATTAACGATATAATAAATATTTTCTATAAATATTGCAAATAAATATTTTGTATTAGAGATATACAGTATGGATGTTTACATATTAACAAGTTATTTTTCATTAAAAAATTTTCTTAATTTAAAGCGGATTTTTAGTGAAAACGTTGAGAAAAATTATTTGTTGCAAGTTTTTACTTGATGCTTTCGTTGGCGTTTAATTTTAAATTTATCAAACTAGTATGTAAGAAATTTAGAATGCCATATGCAGTAATTTACAAAATTTATTTTCAAAATTAAGAAAGTGTTCTTATAGGAAGACTTGGTTTTATTGGCAATGGAAACTTTATTTGATCTAAAAACATTGCAATAAATGATTCATGCCATGAATATGATAAATAGAATATTGTAATTAGTTGATTTTAGCTTAAATTATATAGTTTACACTTGAAATGCTTGAGGAAGGCACTTATAAAGTAAAGTAAAAAGCAAAGCAATGGAAGCTTTTGTGATTACCAAATTGGAACAGGTTGAGCACCGGCACCTTCAATAAATTTGATGTATGATGCGGCAATGTAGCTGTGATACTGATTGGGATATTTCTTATTTAAGTTGTAATTTATTTCCTGCGTCAGCACACCTTAAAGGAAAACGCAATATTGTTTAAAATTTTTATTCATCTAAAATTTTGAAATAGAGAAATATATAGACTAGTTATAACAAAATTGGCAAGTTTTGCTTTCCAAATAAAAATGTGGCATTCTTAGATCTTTATTAAAAACAATTTTTGACTATTAAATTGAAAAAATATATATATATAGATGCACCAGTTAATTCTAATTTTAACTAGAAATTAATATCTATCTAATTGATCTTTGATTATCTAATTATAAAGATATATTCCGTATGAAACACTGGCAATTTCCTGACATTTTTTATCACAATTCTTCACAATATTTCTTTCATTATCTTACAAAAGATTTGTACTTTCAGCAAAAAAAAAAATACCATTCTATCAGTGAATTCTAACCTTTCCTTCCCACGTGCACCTTATAATTGAAACAAAAATATGCCTCATATAGAACGCGATCGATGTGTTGTATGATTTTTTTTTTCGAAAAACTTACCAATAATCGGTCGATTGTTCAAATTTCTTTCAATCGTCACAGCTGCAAGAACGAATGACAACAATGAGAAGCTCAGCAGTAAAACATTCATTGTAGAGGATTGTGAGATATAATAGAAATATTGTTAGTATTATAATGAAGAAGTGAGTGTACTATTTCGCATTACAGTCGAACAAGTAATGCTATTTAATTAAGCCAATCTATTAATTATAAACGTTATCAACCATATCGCTCTTATCTCATACAAAGTCCATATAAACATGAACTGTCAAGTTATTTTAATCTGAGATGGCCGTACCAGTCACGATGCATTATCGTGAATCAAGAATCAAATGACATTGCTTGTGTTCAGGGCTGGCCAAATGTATTTCAAATTGTATTTCAAATACAATAAAATATTTGAAATACAAAATGTACAATGCTAACACAATCTTGATATTTAAATTATAAAATACAAAATACTTTTAATTTTTAATTTTTGATTTAAAATACAAAAATTTTGTATTTTAAATAAAAAAATTGAAGATATTTTGCAATAAATACTAAAATTGTTAGTATTTTGTATTTTGTATTTCAAATGTGTTTGCCCAGCCCTGCTTGTGTTACATTATAGCATAAAAGTTCAAACGCCACGTATTGTACAATACCGTTGATTATAGTAATCAAG